GAGAGTCTGAAACCTACATGAAGCCTGCGCCGCCGGTAATCATGATGTTTCTGACATCGGAGCGAGGCTCAAACTCGGTGGTGCCCGTGAGGACGGGGGCCTGCTGCCAAACGTCGGGCTCTTGGAAGTAGCTGCGATGGCCGTTCATGATGCCTTTTTTTTTCCGGCGTCATGGATCAGTTACCAAACTCGGACATGGACGGACAGGAGCGGGATGGGTGCCAGATCGGGGCGCATGCATACCGTTGGCCAAGGAGGTCTTGACCATGGGTCTCCGGTAGGGCTGGTGAATCGCGAGGGAATCAGGGTGTCTGACTGGATCCATGGTTTGAGCTTGAGCTTGGCCCGGCGGTTGGTTTCGGCTGTAGGCGAGGCGCTGGAAGGGCGATGCCAGGGCCGGTGCCAGAGCGGCGTCTGACGAGTGCGAGGACGGCGAAGACGGCGAGGAAGAGCGGGAAGAGGTGGTTGAGGCAGGATACGATGCCGCCGGAGACGACGATGGCGACAACATTGGTGTTGAGTGGGAGAGGGAGAGGCAGCGGGAGAGGCTCGGTGGGAGGGCTTTGATCAGCGGTTTCATGTCCCGGAGCGCGGTTTCCTCAGCAGCAAAGTGTGGTTGGAAGCGAAGGTGAATGCGAGCTCGAGGGTAATTGGTCTGGATCTCGGTAGGTAGTTACAGGTGCTACAGAGAAGGGCAGGCGCAGGCGCAGGCAGCGGTTTATATTGCGCAGGGCCCCAACGAACACGAACGTCTGGTCGTATGCACTTGTACCGTACCAGGTTTCGTCCAGGTTTGTCTTGTCTTGTCTTGTTTGGTCTGGTCTGGTTTGGTTCCGTGAGCGAGCCGCGTTGATTGTCTGCTAATGCTAACGCTCGAAATTGGCTGACACACCCTCAGCGCTTCACGCGATTCCCAGCAGCTAGCTCCAGCCGTCGGTGGCTAGGGCCGAGGCAAAGGCGCATGTATTCTGGAATTCCGGACTCTCTCGGGAGGCTCTCTAGACTCTCGCTGGACGCTGGACGCTCTCAGGATCGGGATTCGACCGCATCTGCGCACGGCGGCGGCGGCAGGGCAAATACGAGCCCGTAAACAGCTTCGATGGTTACAGTGGCAGCGGTTACAGCGATGACGGCGCAGCGATTCGCACAGCTTCGTTCCATCGGTCCGTCGTCGCCTCGATTCCGTCGCACGGGTCTCGTCTCGTCTCGTCTCGTCTCGTTTCGTCCCGGGCAAGCAAGGCTTTAATTTTGCCCTGTCTAGCCATGCTCGTGATTGATTCGACTGCGTTTAATTGCGATGTGGAGGGACGAACGGCTCACCCGCGCCTTGTCTGCAACGGGACTAGCCCCGCGTTGTTTCTCTGTCACAACAGCCGGTCGAATCCCAAGAGAGAACCTCAGAGCTACTAAAATCCATGGTATAGATTAGCAGGACTCTCCAAGTACTCTTCAAGTAGCCGGGTGCAGAAATTGCCCTCCTTCCCCCAGTTCCGTTTCGGTTCCCACAAGGCAGAAAGAAAAGAAAAGGTACGTACCGGCCTTGCCTCGACCCTGCTTGTACCTGAGCACCTAAATACGGAGTGCGAGTACCAGACATACGTCATGCCCTCTCAGGTACGAAAGCATATCAAGTTCAATTGATGCTGATGCGCTCCCGGTGGCTGTTCTGACATGTGCTTGAGCTTCTAGCTATAAGCCAAAAAAAAAAAAAAAAAAAAAAAAAAAATTCCCCGTGGGCAACACCGTTAGGGCGCGATTAGATAGACAATCAAGTGGAAACCCAGCAACATTGAATAATTTTTTATTTAATTCAATATGCAAGCGATGGAATCTGGCAATGCGAATCTCTCAACAAGGATCCCCGAACCTCCAGATGGATCAGCCTGTCACCTTCGATCCATCACGGCCCATATATATACCCATGGCAGCCTCCACCGCCGTCGTCATATTGCTTCGGAGATCGTCAATTCCACGAGGCCATCATATCTTCCCTCTATACAGTCTTCACAGCCATTGGAGACACGATAATGAAACACTGGAGACCTGATAAAATGCCGCAGCCGTGTTATCGCGTCCTCTCCACCTGTCAAGAGAATCTGCCCGCGGCTCAGCTTCGTTTTCCAATGGGCCGACTCGCAAAAGGCCTTCTTTCAGGGGATGCTGAACTCCACAAGCCGTCTTAGAATGACGGAGGCGGTGTTGGCATCGACAGGAGACGGACGTGTACCGCCGGTGTTTGCTGAGCTGCCAAGCCGCCGATGGAGTCACAGAATGCATACTGGATATCCGGCAACAAGCGAGTCTGCATCTCTCAGCTCGTAGTAAGCTCTCAGCTCGTAGGATGTGCATTCACAGTATCATGAGAAAGGAGAAGGACCAAGAGGATACTCGGATTCTCGAGTATTTAAGGAGCTGGTAAATCCTCCACAGAACCACCTTCGATTCTGCATTCTCATCATAAGCCATTCTCCCAGCTTAGACGATAAAGTTTTCTCCTAGATCTCCCATACGCCTTCAGAAAACTTGGCCCTTGTTCACAATGGCTCCCTCTGCAATCTCCCCCAAGTCTTCCCCTGAACCCGAGCGCCGCTCCAGTCTCAAGAAAGCCCTCTTCCAGACCCGGTCTCACAGCAGCTCCGTGTCATCAGTTGCTTCCATCACCCTCAACGATGGCAACATGATACCCCAGGTTGCTCTTGGTGTTTACAAGGCTCCAAACGGCCAGGCAACCGAGGACGCCATCACGGCCGCTCTTGATGCCGGATACCGCCATATTGACTCTGCTGCTCGGTACGCCAACGAGGAAGCTTGTGGTCGGGCCATCCGTCGCTGGATGGAGAGGACTGGCACCCCTCGTGAGGAAATCTTTGTGTGCTCCAAGCTCTGGGACTCTGACCACGGCTACGAAGCCACTTTCAATGCGCTCTGCTCCTCTCTTGACAAGCTGGGCCTAGAGTATCTGGATCTCTATCTTATTCACTCCCCCGCTCAAGATGAGGAGAAACGTCTGGAGAGCTGGCGCGCCCTGGAGACAGCTCGACGACTAGGCAAAGTCAAGTCCATTGGAGTTTCCAACTTTGGCGCAGCTCATATTGAAAACTTGCTCGAAAATGCTCGTGTGATCCCTGCCGTCAACCAGGTCGAGGTCCACCCATTCTGCCAGCGCGAAGCTCTCGTCGAGCTCTGCAACAAGCACGGCATCATGATCGAAGCTTACTCCCCGCTGGCTCGGGGAAACAAGCTTGAAGACCCCGTCATCAATGCCATTGCCAACAAGTACGGCAAGACTCCCGCACAGATCCTCCTCAACTGGAATGCTTCTCGCGGAAACGTCGTGCTGCCAAAGAGCTTGACTCCCTCCCGGATCCAGAGCAACCTCGAGAGCTTCGACTTTGAACTCTCCAAGGAAGATGTTGACACCATCAACACTCTCGGGGCTGAAAACTACGTCACTGGCAGCATGCACAAGTCCAGCGACTAAATGAGATAACGACACTTGACATTCATCTTTGCATCAAGAGGTACTTTTTTTCTGTTACAACCTCTTCTTTTCTAAACTGGATTTTAAATCTGCGACATGATACCTCATCCTCAAAAATTGCTTTTTTTATGACTTGCGAGGCGCAAACCATCAAACACGAAAAGGTGTGAATAGACGGATAAATGTTTATAGAGGAATATTAGATCTGGCGCCCACGATGGCCCAGAAGAGAACTTTGCTCTTTTGCTTTTAGTTACTCCCACTTAGAGTTTGCAGTCCAATAGAGACAAAATATATGTGCTTATCCTTATTACCATGACCCATTTCGCCCAGACTTGTCCGCGTCTCTACACTGGTAGCTGAAAAGGCGACATTCTCTCAGCACCCAATTTGTTTTTCCAGTTTTTTTTCCTTTTAGCGTTCCGAGATCAGGGGTAGAGCGGGCCCAAATGACAAACAACATGTTCCAAATGCCTACGATCGCTAACAGGGCCTGTGGTGATTGGCTTTCTCCTTCATCTTTGTAGCCGATCCAGAGACGGTCAGACAATGCAAGCCCACAAACCCACTGCGGATTGAGAATTCTTTGCGACATGTCTCAGATTTTGGTAACACCGTATGAGCATGACGGCGGAGAAATCATTGGGCAGCGGCATGCTTGCTTGCGACTCACTTCAAACGAGATTCGAGACAGGCAATCCACGTCCTCTTCATGTACGCTCCACGGAAAAGCTCCTTATATCAACGCATAGTCAATGGTAAATGTAGGCAAACTCAGAAGCCTGAATTCACTCGCAAAGCTTCCCCGCAATCACCCAACATTACTCGCAGGATCAACGACCTGGGGGAGGAGACTGTACGCCACGTGTTATTGAGATCTCCTTTCTCCCCTCCCCACGCCCATCCCCATGTCTCACGATAGACTAAATGGGGTGTTTTTACGGGGAATTTCGGGTGAACGGATGCAGAGGGGGAGACAAGGCCCATGGAATTTATTTCACATTATTTCCTTCACGTTTTTCGGTCTTGTAATATTGAAACTGAGGAATGATTGCCTCCAGCATTTCCTCGAGAGATGTTTGGATCGTAATTAATACGAATCCTTTCCATGTTCCGTATTGATAGCGGTATCATGACTGCGTGAAGACATCTTTTGGTTCTGGCTCGAACTAAAGCAAATTATAGCTGAATGGGCGGTTCAAAATACCTCTCCATCATAACTTCTATAGCTCACAGACGAACTCAACAGTCAACATCGCACGCACAATAAATCATCAAAAACTCAAAAACTCAAAAACCGTCAGCCGCCGTATATTCATTATTATTGATCCAAGTTTTCTATACTCAATGTACCCGATAGCCCCTCAAACGCCATAACCAGTGCATCAACTTTGTCGCTGAAAAATCGCAACCCGCGTGTCCCAACATTACGACACCCCCCCAACTTTTCCCAAAGAATTAAAAAAAAAAAAATGAAAAGTTTGCGCCCCCATCACTCTACCTTGTGAAAACCATGCGCTCAAAGCGTCTTTTGCTCCGAGTCTGGCTTCCAGCTGAGCACCATCTGATTGAACCTCTCCAGCTGTGAGAGGTCGGTAGCCCAGGTAGTCAGTAGCCTCACCACTGCAAACTCTCCATACTTTTCCCATACGTAGAATGAGAACTCCTGCTGGAGAGCGTGGACAAGAGTCAGGGGCAGCACGGCAAAGACCTGGTTGGTCTCCGTCTTGGCGTTGAGCTCGTATCCAGCTCCGGTAATGGAGCGAGACAGCTTCTCAGCCGCCAGGTTGGCCCGTCGAGCGAGGTTAAAGTACAAGCAGTCGTCCTCTCGGAAGAGCTCCGCAAACTGCACGCCCATGATCCGACCCTTGGCGAGCAGAGAACCACGCTGCTTGACAAAGAACTCAAAGTCCTCCGCCAGCTTGGTGTCCTTGACCACGATGGCCTCGCCCAGCAGAGCGCCGTTCTTGGTGCCTCCGATCCAGAAGATGTCGGTCAGCTCGAGCATGTCCGGCAGGGTCAGGTCATTGATGCTGGACGTGAGGGCAGCGCCGATGCGAGCACCGTCGGCGAATAGCAAGAGCCCATTGGCCTCACAGATGCGCTTCAGGGCGGTCAGCTCGGCCTTGGAGTAGATGGTGCCAATCTCCGTGGCGTTGGAGATGTAGACGAGACGGGGCTTTGCCATGTGAGGGAAGTGCCAGTTGTCGTCGAGGGCCTTGGTGAGGGTTTCCGGCGTCATCTTGCCGTTGACGGGAGCGACGTTGATGATCTTGTGACCGCTGGCCTCGACGGCTCCCGTCTCTCGGGTGACAATGTGGCCAGAGCTGCAGGCAATGACGGCCTCGTGGGGACGAAGACAGGCGGCGATGGAGATTGCGTTGGCCGAAGTGCCGCTGGGCACGAAGAAGATGCCGACGTCGTCACGGCCGAGGTGGCGGCGGATCAGGTCGCGGGCCGTCTCGCTGTAAGTGTCGCGGCCATAGCCAGCCTCTTGGGTATTGTTGCTCAGCAGCAGTGCATTGAGGACGTCGGGATGGGCTCCCTCGCTGTAGTCGTCGGTGAAGCTGTATTTTGTCTTGGCCGAAGCGATGCCGGTGGCAGGCATTGTGAATTGTGATTGCGATGCTGGAGTTGGAATTGGGAAGATTAAGGTAAGGTGTTGTTGATGTTTTGCGTAAAGAAGAGTCCAAGACGGTTGAATCTAAACAAACAACGAGGCTCGTTGATGACGAAAAGTAAACAACCGAGTAGCAGCTTATGAAGGAGCAAGGAAACAAGAGGCGGAGAGCAGCGTTCCTCTTGTTTTACAAAGAGAGCAAAGGAACAAGACAAACACAGACACAGGCAAGAGCAAGGCAAGGCAACCCAATGATACTTGTACAGTATTGACAGCACATACGCCGGGCAACTGGGGCCATCTACGGAGCCTCTCCCCTGCCAATTAGCTAATGATAAACAGACCGGTTGTCGTGATTAAAAACGGTGCTCCCCTGAGCAATGCAAGGGAAATTCACTGCAAAGTAGATTAATCCATTACGAAACTCCGACTCGAGCCCCGGGAAAAAAAAATCAAAAAGGCTTCTCCAGTCTTTTCCTCGCCGTTGTGCAAAAAAGTTGTTTTGATGGGCTCTTTGGACAAAGCTAAAGAAAGAGTCTCCGCCGGAGCCGGCGCCAACTAGTGGCTTACCCGGCACATGCCGACGCAGGCCGGACCGCCAAAAGACCATCCCGACTATCGGACGCGGGATCCCGGGATTGATTCTGCTTGGTTTGGCGAGAGGCGGCATTGCTTGTGCTCTTGCGTCGTATCGTGACCATGCAGATGCAGATGATACAAAGGCAGTGATACCGTTTCAGTTTCTCAATCAAAGCACAGCTCAAAACGACGACACGAAGAAGAAGACGGGGAGACAAGAGAGGCGCCGGAGCTTCCTATCGCCCCCCCTCACATCACATCACATCACATCACCAAACGGAACAAATGGGCAGAGATAAGATGGGGATTTCTGTACGGCAAAAGACAAAAAAAAAAAGGAAAAAGATCCTACTCGTGCACTAGCAGCGGCCAGTATCGTCGCTTCATCGGCCCCACGTTGGACAAGCAAAGTCCCCTAATCAGCAAACCCACGAAGCTACTAAGCCAAGACGAGCCCGTTGCTATCTAAAGACCCTTCTCGGCCCGGACAAGACTCGGAGACTTGGGAGCTTTTGGGCGTACGAGTTGCATCGTCCATCACCACCACAGCAGGAGGTTTCAAGATAACTATGCTACCACCGCAGTATTAGACTGTAAACCATCATCTCGAAAGCGTATTAGCCTCTCACCTCCCCCATACCCAATGACACGCAGGGGGAAGGATTTCATCAAATGCAAGCCACAGCAGCAAAACCCCAACAATGACATACAATCCACGTAAAACCATCATCAAAAAAGCAGGCCCAAAAACTCCATCCCTTGCGGTAAAAGCATCCCATAATAAGAACAAAAAGGACCACGAGGGGGTACAGCGGCAAGCATCTACCGGGCTTTCGCTTCGACTCTTGGCACATGATCTAGACCGACCACGATGCAAGTTCTCCGCCTTTTGCTTCTTCTTCTTTTTTCTCTGCTGATCATGGGATTTACAAACATGCAAACTGAGACACGTACAAAAGCTCCGATATCGACACCAACGTAATTGGACCCTGCCCTGCTCTGCCTAGCTATGAAACCGCCAATGCACGTCGCGCCTCTGGTTGCTTTAAAGGCCTTCCCCAACATTTCGTATTGTATGCGAATTGCGAGATGGGGAAATAGACAAGGTGCATTAGCCGGTATTCGACGGCTTTAGGTATAGTATTTGAACCGTAACGGTGCATGTCATTGGGTGATTGCGCCATCTCTCAGCTACGAGCACATGGATCAGTTTTTCCAACGTAGAAATAAAGAGTTTATTCTTCTTCATTCTGAACTTCTTTCGTCAAATAGCAAAAAGTATCAAGGAACGTGCCGTGTCGCTTGCTCAATCAAATCCAACCTCATCCAAGCCCATGTAAAATCGTCAAAACGACCATTTATCCCCT